AAGAGAGAGAATAATTATCGATTACGTATAATGTCATTTCATCAGAAATTACGCGCTAACGTATCATGTAGTAAAGGGTTATCTTATCTTAAAAGGTACTCTACTGCAATGTGTGGTGAACGACTTTTGTATAGTCTACGTATTTGTGAGCTTCTTCATGAAGCGAAGCATGGGTGAACCTACGAAACAATCTTTCTCCCCCCCCTTCTCTCTCCTTTCTCTCTTTCTCTCTCTCTCTCCTCTCTCTCTCTCTCCTGTCCTCTCGTCTCTCTCTTCTCTCCTCTCGTACTTTGTCTGGGTATCTCTCCTATTTTAGCTATATCTCTGTCGCTCGCTCGCGTTCTCACTATCGTCGCCTAATCACAACTCCATCGCCTCTCTCCCACATTCTCCCGTCAATTCTTCTGCCTTCGTCACGTGGTCCACGGCCCACGCTTCTCCTAACAATTCAAACTGCACATAGTTGGCGAATTCCTCTAATAATATTTAAGGTAGTTCGAGCTAATCCTGCTCCCAACCTGCTCGGCATATGTCCGTCGTAATAATGAAATTTACCTTACACCATTGATTGTACTGCATTCGCTACTGTTGGTTGGTGTGATGGTCGGAACAACAGCTTATATATTTCATTTTCTTAATTCAGTAAGAGACACGCCGAATGTATGTTATTACACTAGTATTACACATTGATTGCCGTGGTCCGCTTCTTAAAGTTCTGCTACTGCTACTCGACTACAGCCTAACTAAAGATACTATCCGATTCTCCGTTTTTGATTCGGTGACTAGTCTCGTCGTGTCCACTCTCGTGCGTCACTTGTACTTGCACATTCACGATGATTTCATATGTACAACAGATCAAACCGTTTACGTTTACATGTTGTGTGTGTGTGTGGTGTTGTTTGTGTGTGTGTGTGTGTGTGTTGTTATAGCGAAATAATAAGATGATATACTCGTCGCGGAGGAGAGGGCGGCAACTCATTTCCCCCTCGTTAGCCGCTCGAGTGTACGCGCAGTGTCGCTTAAGGTTTCCACTCTCTGCGAGAACTTCCAAACAGACAACAGCTTGCACTGGTAGGGTTTCTCTTCCGCTGTGAATGCGAAGATGTGCCTTTCGTCGCGTTTTAAGCTATAGGAGAACGGACTTCGAGCAGCAGTCGGCAGCGTAGGGCCGCTCGCTCGGAGTGAAATGCCGCATGTGAATCGCAACGAGGAGGCTCTGGCGAGAACTGGCGATCGCAGATCGACAGTGATACGGCTTTCGCTCCGATAGTGCGGCGTATGTGCGCCGTCAGGTTGGCCGCTGTGAGAAGCTCTTGTTGCAGTCGGTGCAGCGGAACGGTTTCTCGCCGATGCGTGCGCCATGTCGCCTTCAGCGTGCTCGGACGCGCGTACTCTTGCCAGCCCAGATGCACATAAATATCGCTTCTCGCACCAGCCATCTTCGCCGCCGCCGACTGACCGACGACGACGATGACGATGGAGACTTCTCCCCTGCACGCCGCCGACGTTCTGCCGGTAGAGCCGCGCCGCCTTTCTTCAAGCATGTAGTGCGAAAGACAAACGAACGCGATGCAGCAGATGGTAGTTCTGCGGTCTGTAACGCCTGCGCCCGACATGTTGGGCTGCCGGAAACGTGCTGCGATCCCCGTGCGACTCCGGCTCGGGACGTGGTTGATGGCGCGGTACTGGTAAAGATGTGTTCGGTCGTGGTACTGGTCGTGCTGGGGTGGCCGCCAGGCGTCGCTGACCACTGCTGTTGGCATGCGTGACCGTATCCCATTTGACATCGACAGGGATACGTTGACGCTCCATGACGAGCGAAACAGAGATTGTTAGGCATTCTGTAACGAACACGTGGGCCGTGGCGTTAGTAAGACGTGCATATATGTACACCACGCACGCCAAGCGCACACGATTGCATGCACACGAACGCAGGCACGTAGACCACGGCACGATACACACGCGCACGAGCACATAACACTAGCATAACACCACACAACACCACACACACACACCACACACAAGACACGCGCGCCACCACACACACCACACAACACACACACACACGACAACACACACAACACCACACACACAACAGCACACACACACAGCCACACACAAGCACACACACCACCACACGCGCCAGCGCACACACACCCAACACAGGCAAACCACACAGGCTTCGGCCGAGTATTTCCCGGCCACACCACACACACACACACACACACACACACACACACACACACACACACACACACAACACACACACAACACACCACACAGACATACACACATACACACAAACAAACTAACACACACGCACACACACACACAACACACACGTCACACACGCACACACACGCACGCACGCGCGCACACACACGCAGGAACGCACGCACGCACGCGCACGCACACGCACACGCACACGCACACGCACATACATACGCACGTTCACACAGTTAGGCCGGCGGCAGGCAAGAACGCGGATGGAGCAAAAATATGTGGAAATATCGATAAACGACGGGATACGAGAGCTTTAGAGCGACAAGTAAAAAAAAATTCTAAAACTGTTCGAACGAAAAAAGCCCCGTATTATACAAAAAGAGCCAACAAGAAATGATTTCTTTTCCTATTACAACGATCGGAATCACACTGTTAGTATGAAATAGTTAATACATCGCCTCGTGAAATCATTTTCGATTCCGCACGACAGTTCGTTTTACGAGATAATTATTTCTACATTCAGGGCTCATGCACAATAATATTTCACATGTAAAGCACAGCCGCTGTTCATCGCTAGGCTAACGCCATACTCGTTGACCGGCTATTTGAGGCAATGCAGTGTATGCCCCTATACAAGAAGACTACTGTGTGTGTATGATTATATGAATATGTGTCTCTTTAAACCTCATAAAAAGAATATTGCGAAATACATAAATGTTATTATGAGAACTATCGATGCACGTGTCTCAGTAGAACATCATGAAGAATTATCTTATTACTGCTTCCCCTTCTCAATCTCTCTCTTTTTATCTTTCTCTTCTCTCTCTCTCTCTCTCTCTCTCTCTCTCTCTTTCCCCTCCTCTTCTTATCTCTATCTCTCCCTCTTTCTTTCGCCCCACCCTTTGCGCGCGCGCGCGCGTCTCTCTCTCTCTCTCGCTCTCTCTCTCTCTCTCTCTCTTCTCCTCTCTCTTCCCCCTCCTCTCTCTGATCTCTATCTCGCCCTATTTCTTTCGCCCCTCCTTTGCGACTCTCCTCTCTCTCTCTCCTCTCTCTTTCTCTCTCTCTCTCTCTATCTCCATCTCTATTTCATCTCTGTCTATCTATCTATCATATAATATATATATATAATATATATATATATAATTACTTCTTCTATTTATTTATTTCAATTATTTATTTATT